TGGTTAGATTACCCAACAAACATTGAAAGCTGAATAAGAGCTTATTCATACAAAAATATGCTTCTTCAGCTAAAAATTGGCTTATTCAGCTCATAATCAGTTAATATTGTTTGTTGGGTAGTTCAAAATTCTACTGCCATGCAGCGCTAGTGTGCACGTAAATTTCCAGCCAAGGCAATAGCTTGCGATCCTGACCAGCTGGGAAGTTGCTGATTTTGGAAAAGTTGTCCAGATAGCCAAAATCTTTCAATTGTGAGTGGATTAGATCAAAATTTTGCCACTATACGACGCTAGTGTATATGCGAAATTTCATTTTTTTTCTTAACCAGTTGGGAAGTTCCCCGTAACGTGGGTCGATCACTATTTCGCGGTACGCTACGGAATGTAAGATCTACCATCGATTCTTAGTCTTGACTACTTCAAACTAGGGGAACAGGATTTTTCAGGGACAGGATTCAAAGGAACACATCTTAGTCCTTGCTACTTTTTATGCCTTGTTGATAGTAATAAAACTCGGCTTTGTCCACCGAGGATGATCTTGAAAAAAGGAAAAAATGAGTTAGTTAGTCTTCATCCATGTGATTCCTAACCTTCTATTCGCTGTTCCCTAGTTTGAAGAGGTTAAGACGAGGGTTCTGATGCATGGTCATTATCGGTGTCGTTGCTTAATTTTGTTGCTAAAGAATTCAATTTTGACTAACAAAGGGGCGCGCCTGTGGATGGTGCTTTCTTTTTTGACTTTTAAATGATCTTTATTTCTTGTATTTTTATGCATTTTCAAGTGACACAGATGCGCCTTTTCAACTTTAGTGGATTTGAAATTTTTAATTATTATTTAAAGTTCCTAGTCCTATCAGGCCTGTTTAAAAGAATGACCACCTTGGTGGGATTAGTCTTTGAAAGGTGCTTTCACTCTTCGAAGGTTATAAATAGCGGGACCTTTCAATTAAAATTTTGGAGGCGAACCAGCCCAAGGCTGAAAGCCTCCTTAATAAAGCTAAATAATAATATTTCAATTAAAATCGATTCCTTGTGATGAAGGCAAGGATGATAACTGTATCAAAACCGAATACTTCACCATTTATCAATAGTAATGGAGTAATACGACATGGACTAAGCTAAGGACACGGGATAGTTCATACAATGTATAGATTAAATTACTGGTCGCAGTAGGAAAAAATCCTGTCTTGAAATGCTGAGAATAAGAAGAAGAAGACTACCTGGGAAACTGGAGGCGGGTTAGTTAAAAAATCACTCCCAGCCGATGGCAAAGGATAGCGCTGCCAACATTGGAAAGAACACCACATCACCCAGTTTACAACATTGTAGAACGACGAACACACTTGCCACGATTCTCTCCAATTCCCGTTCAGCTGAAAAAGCATACGAAATCGATTTATCGTACTATGTGCGCTTCTTACTCGCTATTCTATCCTTGTTTCGTGGTTCGAATATCTCATCCTCCGTTCATGCGGTCTCCATTGTTGTAAGCCAATCTTACATCCCCCGGTTGGGTGTCGTACTTGCCTGTGATGTTACTTTGGAAGACCCTTGCACTACTCCGACGCGCAAGGACGGGACGACTGCTGAACGCTGACTGGACTGGCTATCCTGCGGAGAAAGGCACAAGGGCTACCATGAGGCTAACTTTACTAATTGCGGCTGAAGAGGAAAGCTGGATGGAATTTGCTGGAGTGGCCATGCGATTGCACGAAGTTCGGTTGAGATAAGTGGAACATGCGTCCAAGATGACAATGGGGATTGCAGCCATTCTGGAACAGTTTGACTGAAGAGTGCTGTGTAACGTGGTGAATTGTCACGTATTCTGTCATGGCGTTCTCTTGGTGATCTGAGTAATTGGGAGAGTCCGTGCTGGGAGATAAATTGGCATCTGGTGTTCGACAAGGGTTCGGAAAATTCGCAGCGGTTAATTCTTAAACTAATGAATAGCATTCCCTTTGGCCACGTAGCAGTCGAAAGAGCCTTTAACTTTAAGATCAGGACTCATACCAAGTTTAAATGAGATTAATGTCATACTACTGACATCCTTACCGTTAGCGACTAGTCTGAATGCCTCATCGTCATTCGTTCCTATTAGAATGCAAATTTAAAACGCGTTTTTCTTTGCTTGCTGATTTGTGCTATGGGACGGATTTGCCATGACCGGCAGTATATATCGAGATCCTGACTATCTCTGAAGTAACTGTTTTCCGCAAAGTTTCTCAGTTAACCAAAATCTTACCAAATCAGTTGAAAATTATCTCACATATGAACTTCCAAGCTATGCTATATGACGAAATTATGAGCACATAGTTTAAATTTTTGGAAAAGTTGCTCAAGTAGCCAGAGCCTATTGAATGGGGAACGGACTAGTTCAAAATTCTGCCACTACATGGCTCTAGTGAACATGTGATCTTTCAATATATGCTATATCTCGAAATCCTGACCGTTTAGTAAATTGCTGTCTTTAACAAAATTATTCAGGTAACGAAGGCCTTCTACAAATTGTCCCCTACGCAGTGCTATTGGGCAGTTCGCGGTGAAGTTGCTCCGATTCATTATTCTCCCGCTTTGCAGTGCTTACATATATGCTTGGAAATTTCAAGTAAGTGCTATATCTCGAGATCCTAACCTTATGGGAAGTTACTGACTTCGACATAATTGTTCTTATAACCAGAGCCTTTCGAGTGATGAACTGATAAGTTCAGAGTTCTAACACTACGCGGCGCTTTTGTACATATAAAGAGTTGCTGTCTTCGGCAAAGTCCTTCAGATAGCCAAGGCCTAAACAAATTTTATACTTGCACACCCATGATCCAGAAACCCTAGATATCTTAAAGGTTTTTGCCATCGACGATAACTTCCCAGAAGGTCAGGGAAATATAGCATATTTTCGATGTCTTTGGTAAGCTGACCAGCTTTGCCGAAAACAAGCAATTTCCCAAATAGTAAGGATTACGAAATATAGCAAACTTTGAAACTTCAAATGAACAAAAGTTCCGCGTACTGGCAGAATTTGGAACTTATTTACTCATAATTTAAAAGAATCAGATAAACTTTTCCCAAAATATCAACTTCCAAACTGGTTAGAATCTCGAGATATAACATACTTTGGATATTATCATGCATATTAGTGCCGCATAGTAGTCATTCTACTAACCATTCGAAAGGCTATCTGAACAACATTGCTGACGACAGTAACTTCCCAGGTAGTCAAGATCTCGAGATATAACACACTTTTAAATTTCGCATGCACACTAGCGTTGGATAGTGGCGGAATTTTGATCTAATCCACTCGCAATTGACATATTTAGGCTATCTAAACAACTTTTCCGAAAGCATCAACTTCCCAACTGGTCAAGATCTCGAGTTTTTGCCTACATTGGAAATTCACCTGCACACTAGCACTGCATGGCAAGCTAACCATAATTTGAAAAGCTTTGATTACCTGAACAACTTTGCCGCAACTGTGGTCGGGATTTCGAGATTTATTACACAGTGATTGTTATCATATTAGTTTGAAAACCCGTTACGCGACAGGTAGAGCCAGACTTCTACCAAGGAGGTGGTACAGTGAAAGTGCCAATAGTTGGCTTTGCAAAAACCCAGTGGCATGCGTGATACGAGTTGATGATTTGGTTGTAAATGACCTGGAACTGATCAAAGCGGTGAAGTTCAGACGAAGTTCACTTTTGAGCGCCTCGAATCGAATTGCGGAAACGAATCCATTGTTCTTTTTCATCTTATCGTTAACAGCTGAGGTGAAATTCCACTTTGCAGAAGCCACAGCCACATGTAATCATCAGCAACATCAGTGGCACAGGAAGACGAACTTTTCAGAATTTGAAGATGAGTTCCAAAGCAGCATTACCACACGGTTTCAAGAAAATCGCCTAGAATAGTAAACACGTGGAGGCAAGCAAAAATCACGACCCGAATATCACGCGGTTGGCACAGCATAAATATAAAGCTCCACACGTGACGTGGAAATGTGATCACCAACAACTAACTAAACAATGAATCACAGATTAAAATAAAATACTAAACGGTAGAAACATGAATGCAAAGTAGCGCTTAACAGTGATCGATTGCAAACAGAGTTGCTAGAATTATAACATGATATATACATATAAAGCGAAATTGGAACCAAATTCATAAAAGAAAATAAAAATAGAAGTGAAATCGATGAAAGCTTTAGTTATGATATGGATATAAGGTCCAAACTACTTCACGACACGAATCAAAAATTAAATTAAATTAAATTAATTATATTAGAATTAAATTTTAAAATCGAATTAAAAGGAATTAATGTAACCATAAATGATTTACTGTGCGACTTGCTTACTTGAAAAAGAGATGTAAACATCTAATTTGTTTCGCAAATCCAATTGATTGCTCAAACTAATTTCATCAGCAGGGGGATCAAGAGATTGCCTTTTTCTTTTGCGCTTAGGCGCCATGGTTGCAGTAAATTTTTTATCCAAATCCACTTCCAAGCAGATTACTATTAGAATCTGAAGGATCGAAGAGGAATTTTCCAAATCGATATCCAAAAGAATTACCTCGGGTAGGGTCCAAACAAAGATCGAAGAGGAATAAGAGTCAAACTAGGTAGACAATTCACAGGTATATTGAGCACTGAAAAGTGCTATTTAAATTTGTTGCTTTAGGTAGTAGTAACACTTCCTTAAGCAAAAAGCAAATAGATCCACACGGAAAGAGAGCACGATGCGGACTAGATCAACCGGAGTGTTTTACTTCATCGCATGATGTTCACACAGATGCCAATCACCACCACTAGTCCATTGGAAAGCTAAAATCACCGACAGGAGTTGTTTTTTAAAGCTAAAATTAGAATCAAATGTCAGGAAAACCATTTCAAAAATTCATAGTCTTGTTTTCACATTCCAGCTCAGCCTATGACGTATGCTGAATATCCCGAATTCTCCCATATTCAAAAATTCTTCGCATCTAATGAATGTTCTCTTCCTTCTTTCCAGATCCATCATTGCTTCAAACGAACGGTAAGTTGAACCACTGTCCCATTCCAATCCGTCAAGCTAAAGTTGTCCAAATGGAAGTCTCCTGTCCCACATTCATAACATTACACAGCATGACAAATGTGAAAAGATGCCGGAAAATTATTCACTCAATCTCATCTGCCCACCCAACGGGAGCGCTTCCCGCCCCGCCACCGCACTTCAGCAAACTTATTCAATTTCGTTCGCATTTGTTTAAAACAACACATTAAATCACGCACAACAAATCCCATTGGCCCTGGAAAGCGAGCAAACAACGAGAGACCGGTAAAAATTCATACCGATTTTGGCTGCGATTTAAATTCGGTTTGAATGCGTTCTCCCCCTTCCCGCAAAAGTTCGAACCCAGCAGCCGTTCGCACATATATCATCTCACAATAACACGTCTATAAAATGCGCCATTTATTATCAGTCATAAAAAAGAGCCCCGAACCCGACGTTGCAAGCTTTTTCTGCCATGCAAAACGGCGGAAAAATAAGTATCACACCACCCCGAACAAGGCAGGGAAGGAATGGAAGCAGCTGGCAAAGGCGGATTGCGGAAAATATACCGCCAATTTCCGCACATCTCTATCGCTTTTCCGACGACGACGACGTTGTCGCTGTCGTACGAATTACGATAGACGCACCCCGAGTGCCTTGTACTTTATGTCATACGAACGAATCTCCGAGAGGAACGTTTTAAAGTTGGCACAACCGAAGAAAGCACCAAATTTGCAGCAGCGGCACCGGAGGAGAAAAACATATAAATTCTTCTCATCTCGAGATTCCTTTTGCAGTGGCATCTCGCAAGTCTTCCTTCTTCTTGGGGGGTTATTCGATGAATGAAACTTGCGGGGTGGGATTGGTCGTGGTTTAGCAGCTTGAATGATGAGGCAGAAGATTTGCCATAGAAGCCTTTCAAATGAAATGGGAAAATATACCGCCGGAGGACACTAGGTTATGCAAGGGAAGTCGATTTGTATCTGTCGTTTGTATATTAGAACAGTGGATGTTCGATTTATTGATGATTAGCAATTTTTCCGGCATGATCCATATTGATCAACTGCAGAATGGGTGTTATGACGGTCTTTAGATTATGATTTAGATTTTTTTAAACTCTAGGGCTATGATAATTCCTAAATCAACATTATGTATTTGATCACATGCATACGGATCTGAATACTAATTTTGATCATCCAAGATTCTTTCATCTAAGCACTTCGACAGAACCTCTTTCGACTAGATAGTCGTAAAATCTACAATCCTAGAAACTTCACAAGGACGAATTCGAACGACTTTTTTTTCCCTTCTACTCATTTCGAAATGCTTTAAAGTCCATATCCAGCTCTGTGCAGTTCTAAATTATGCAAAGATAATAAATCCTGTCCAACGATTAGCATACATTGAGCTGTGTAGTTCCGTGTACCCGGAATGAATCGAAGCATGAGAGAGCAAATTTGGTTAAACAAGAACCTAATTTATTCATTTACCAAAGCACATGCACACATCCATATGCATGCAGTCCACTTAGAGGTTTCCCATCTTGTGCTGCATTCTTCCATCGTCCGAGTTGAAGGTGCACATCTTAAATGCATTGCATCGTCTTCTGCTGCAGTACAGGACGGGAAACTTGATCCTTGTGCGTCCGCCGGTCCGTCCGTACGACCTTCTGTCTGTCTGTCAGTGTACCGAATATACTTTTCCGCCAATTTGAGGATAACCGACCGGAAGAAGGAAACCGAATATCCTTATCCTCTGAAAAAGGATCTTGGATAGAAAACGACGCATCCAGGAGAAGAAGAAGAATTCTTTGCAAAAACATTGTACGCCAGGACCTGGCAGGAAAACATCACTAAACGATGCTTAACAGACAGTTTCAATTTGCGACCTGTCATCATTTTGAGTAGGGAACTACGGGGCCAACTTTCGGCGAATCACTGAAAATTGTCAATCAGAAGGGTTGAAAAAGGGATTGCCAGCATGGCAGGAAAAATTAAAACAAAATTTAATGCTTTGTTTAACCCAGAAAGAAAAATCTGAGCTGCAGATAATCGTCATGGAAGAAGAAAAAATGGCACTCGGAAGAAGCCACGACGTTATCTTCATGTGAATTTAAACTTATTTTTTCCCTTCAGTCGTTTATCTCCATTTTTATGCTCTCTGTACTATTTCCCGCAGACATGCAGGTTTGTTCGTGCGGAAAACTCTACATGGAAGCATACCGAGCCACCCTGGCCTAGACGATTTGCCGGAGATGTAGATCATTGGGCAAGACAAGACAAACCGTTGTGGGGCTTGGCACAACTGAAGGGGGAGACGGGGGATGTAGACGCAGTATTATTTTTTTTGGCATCAACTTGACGACTCAGACTCAGAGATACGTCTGCACTTGTAGACACATATACACGCGCACCTAGTTGCCTTCGAATAGAGGTAATTGAATACCGTCGGCCACCAGCAGAGCTCGGAAACGGAAGAAGGAAACAGTACCGACGACGATTTGAGTGTTTGCGTTTCAATTTGCATTCCCGCGCGTTATCTCTATTTTGATGATTCACCGTACCTGCTAGTGGAAGACCCATGGTGCATCAAACGTATCTTCTGTGATCCTGGGAAAATACCGGCAAAGAATATTATCATACGACAAGTTGTGAGACACGGTGACACTGAGTTGGATTTGACCGATTTCTGAAGGAAATCGTTGTATATTCATTCGAGTATGACTGGAACTGCAAATGTTGGCTACACTGCTTGAAAAATTAGTGTAAATTTATTCGTAAAAAAATCCTTGAATGCTTCAAGATGTTCTGCTTGGAAACGTCCTCGTGATTCCTTTGAAGTTATTCTTACCACGCAATTTTGAAGAGGAGGCAAGAAAGACCATCGCCTTTATGAAGCCCTTTGCCTGTTTCAAACGAGTTCAACAACGCACCCGATATCAGTTCTGCACAGTGGTCCAGAATAGGAATTTAGTAGCAATAGTAGTCCTAGAGCATTTCCTATAACATTGTATTTGAAGAAGTTTTCGTACTACAAAATTTCTTTCTTTTGATGATCGTTAACATGATGGTGGCCCTCAAAATAAAGGCTGACTAAAAGTAAATTGGTACGCACAAAAAGACCTGTAATTCGTGATTCAGTACGTTTAAAAAGTCTATTAATTGTTGCTTTACAGTACATTTATTAAAACTTCAAAGTTACAGAATAAGATGGCTACATTTCTCCAGTTCGAACGGAATCTCGAACCTTCCTCTTAATGGAGCCCATTAGCACCCGCACAATGGAAACGAACACGGAATCAGCGCATATCTTCCATTTTACCCGCATTTGCTGGATGTCCCTGACTGCACCGCCGCTTCGTCGAAGTCGCTGCTGTGGAATTGCCCAGTATTTTTCGATTGGTCGAAATTCCAGGCAATTCGAAGGATTTATTAGCTTGGGGACAAAATCGATCTTGTTGGCAGCATACCACTCCAGAACCACCTTGGAGTAGTGACAGCTGGCCAAATCTGGCAAAAAGATGACTTTGCCCCTATGCTTGCGGATCAACACGCTTTTTCAGGCATTCTTCAATGTAAACTTGGGGTGTCATCGTTGAGGATGTGACGAATGGTTCCGTTTGCAGGCCACAACTGCTAATCGCTTGCCAAATCATGGCCTTTTTCGCGAACTAGTCGGAAAACACGAACTTGAATCCCGCACATCCCACGTCCAGTCGTGATGTAAAACTTTTGACCGGGAAGCTGCTTAAAATCGAGTTTGACGTATGTTTTGTCATCGATCAAAGTGCAGCCCTTGCGTTTCTTCAAAACACGGTCGTACAAGAGCCTTGCTCGCTTTTTGGCCACGGAATTCTGCTTCATGTGCCGGTTCGGATATATGCTGGCTTCGTGCGACTTGTATCCTTCCCTGGCAAGGATGTTCCGCACCGTTTGAAAGTTGGTGTTGTACCTTCTGGCCACATCTCAGATCGACGTTCAGGGTTTCCTTGTAGGTTTTGAGCACTCGACAGACTGTTGTTTTCGGCATCTTCAGCACTTTAGCCAGCTTGTAACCGAACCACTCTGGATTTTCCATGTGTTTGTGCACAATAATTTTTCTTCTTTCGAGTTCCATTTGACGTTAATTCTGAACGCGAACGACTACTTTGATCAAACTTGCACCAGTCGTTCTCTTTAGAAGTTTAAACAAACCTCTGTCAAATATTTTCGAGTCCCAACACTAGAGGCGTGCTAGCTGCGCTCGAAGAGCGTACCAATTTACTTTTAGTCAGCCTTTAATTCATACTCAACATACTTTTTTTTATTTTTGAAAATAAAACATAGAAGCAATGGCTCTAATGTTGGTTTATGGATCTAAAGATAGGGCCCATCGATAAAAATCTCCTGTTCTTATTTTTGTCAAAGATCAATGCGTTATCTGGACGTCACAGAGGCGTCGCGTGCCTCATTTATTTACCTGTGCACCGAACTTTGTTCGTTATAGCTTACCACCACATAACAGTGTCAAAATCTAGAGAAAATTCATGACGTCCCCTGGGTAGCAAACTTGAATTAATCAACTCTTTATTCATCAGAACAACACTATCAGAATGAACCAGGGGAAGCTCATAAGTTTACACAGGCGCACCAGCGCAACCATCGGTAATTGAGAGATTTACAACTGACAAGCGAGTAAAAGCAAGTTTTTGCGCTCTCTTTCTCCATTACTCTCTTTGCCTGCAATCAGATATCCAAGTGCACAGCGAGAAATGCACACTTTGGGCACCCATACATCGCAAATGTTTTTCTAATTTAAATACTCCCGTTTGACGCGTGACTGCTGAAAGTTTCAATTACAACTAGTGGTGCAAACCGCCATGTATTGTGGAAAATTTGTGATATGTTTCAAGAGGTGATAGAAGGTCTGCTTGGCTTACATCAGACATTGACCATTCACAAACTTGCCACCCGCCACCCAAAAAAGCTCGCTTTTAGGTGCACTATTTAACGAGTTTTGTCATG